ATAAATACACATAAACACCAAATTAGAACGGTCTCTCTTAATTTTTATTTCCTTTCTCAGGAAAGTTGGATTTCCAAGATGTTCTGCCAAGTAGGGCCAATGTACTGGCTCCAACTCAAGACCACAAATTGGCAGATATAGATAATTCTTCCTCATCCTTGGAGAACGTCCTCTATGGACGCGAATTCCTGGATGCAGGGATGGAGGCACTATTGAACAAGGTGCAGAAGGGAGGGTAGGGTCTAGGCATATCTCAGAATCAAGATGAATGCTTCTGAACATCAGAAAATAATCTGCAGTGGAAACAACAAATGTCAAAGGGGAAACACATGAGAGGACCGCAGGAAGCCCAAGATCATCATGAGATGGGGGAGAGCGCCTGGGGGAAACGAGCATGATCAGTGCTGCACAGGAACAGTGCGAGCCAGGGAAAAGCGTCATAGACTGCCAGGCAGGCACACAGCACTCATGGCTTACAGGAATCCGAGAGCCTCCAATTATCTGACGTGAAACATATTAAAGAGATTCCCAGTCCAAGAACACAGCACATCCACGTATTGTCCTACCAGTACTCTCACATGTATTCATACACAGATCCATCTGCACTGCTACCTGCTTCTCTCATTTCCTTATAATCTTCCTTATCCTCACTTATTTACCCTACTATCCAAAGAGTAATAATTATTCTGACTTCTAGAAGACCCTACATTCATTATCTTGGACTTCTTCTAAATTTGTATAAATAGAAGTGTAACATATATAGTTGTTGACAGCCGGGGAGATAGCTCAGTGGCACAAGCACCTGCCTGGCAAGTACAAGGTCCTGAGTTTTATTTCTGGTACCAAAAAAAAAAAAAAAATCACAAACATACATACTTTTTGTTTGGGTCTTTTGACTCATTGTATTTATGCATGTTATTAATGTGGCATGTGAGTATAGTGTGTACACTGTCATTACTACCTATATTCCATTCCATGAAGAAAAAGAATTTATTCACTGATTATTCTTTGCTGAGCATGAGCACTGCCTTCATTATGGGGAAAGTAAGGTGATCTTTTGCTGTATGGATGCAGTTTCGCCCTGTGAATATAGTTTGCTCTATGAACTCATTTTTATTTGCTGAAATTATAATACATTGTATATTTCTGTTCTAACCAAGTCAGAACTTCATCTTTTCTAATGCAAACACATTCATATCCATTTAATTTTTTATAATCTTCATAATAACCTGAGGTGTTTTATACAACTTTTCAAAGTCTTTTAGTTTTAAAATTCATGTTTTTTTTGAACACTTTGATTTTTGCATCCATGTGATCTTTACTTTCTTAGATTTCCCAAACTAATTGATCTAATTGCCAAGAGAATATTTTCACTAACTGAACCACAAAGCTCTACAACAGAGGTCATGCAAATACACAGACAAATACACACACACCTAAACACACACCTTTTTTTTTTTTTTTGTCTTTTTGACCCAGGGTTTCACTGTACAGTTCAGGCTGGCTTTCAGCTCACTGTGTAGCCCAAGTTGGTATCAAACTACCAAGGATCATCCTGCCTCAGGCTCCTGAGTGCTGGGATAACAGGCATGCACCACCAAGCCTCGTTTTAAATAAACACCCTTAATCACATTCATTTTGCACAGAGATATGCTTAAACTAACACAGAGACACAAACCACAGTGCCATTCTCATTCAAACAAAACTTTTCTTATATTCACATATAAGAACCATCAGAAAGCTACCTTAACCCTGAATTTTAACAGATCTGCAGTGATATGACTTGCAGAACACATGCTGCAGTCAACACACACCACTTACAGCAATGTGTGCATAAGATCCAAGCCTGGAATATTTATGGAAGATCTTGATAACCTTAAACAGTTACTTCATGGAAGGTGAACTTTGTTTATATTGTGAACAGGAAAAAGAACATCATGAGGCCATGAATATTTAATTTCTTCAGATATAAAAGTTTACCAAATCTTTCATTCGAGGTTGTGAATCTCTAGGAGTAAGAGAATGAAAGTATGAAATATATAGAAAGATATGAAATAATATCAGACACATTACCAAGTTCAAAGGAATAATGTACCTTGAGGGCTGGATCCCTGTAGACTCATAGACGTCTGAATTGCAGCAGTTCCTGCCCAGGGAAGACATCACTTTTCAAGACAGAGAAAATATTCCTGGGAGAGGGTGCTAGACAAGGTGCCTGGGGAGAAGTATGGCAGGAGGTGAGCAGAATGGAATCAGTGATTTCAGCTGTAATGTTTTGATTACCCTGAGTCCATTGTATAGACAAGCTCATTATCAAAGGTGTGGGAGGAAAAAAAGGTAGGACAGCATGATAGCTCAGAATTGGAGTAGGGCCTCTTTGGTCAGTGACTGAATAAATGAGCAGATCTCTCCAAGACTGCCTGGACTGGTTTTCACAAGCCACCAGGTTCATTTTCCTATGTCCTCTGGAAAAGGCTCCTAAAGGACATGAACAGGATGGTTAAAGATTTAAGAGAAACTGGAGGCTTATTTCTAGAAGCTAAATTAGGATCCATTCTGTGAAGTCTTCATTTGAATGCTTAGCAGCACCATACCCAGTTCATCAGAGAACCATCGGTCTGAGACAAAATACCCAGCATATCAGGTTAAAGGTGGAAAGGTGTATATTGGATCACATTTTGTAGAAGTTCCCATTCATAGTCTACTGGTTCTAAGGAGGTTAACATTGTAGAGGGGCATTGCAGAGGAGAAATAGTCCACGGGAAGCAGACAGAAGACAATGAAGCAGTAAGCAGCAAGCAAGAGCAGCAGCAGTAGCAAAAGCAGGCCTGCCTTCCTTCACTCCCTATACATCCCATTCTGGCTGTAAACCTGTTGATTGTTCTTGGAGTTGTGATTGTAAAACACTCACATCCAGGTTGAGACATCCATTATCTACCTCCTTAATCCTAGCTTCACATCCTTAATCTGAACACACACATCCTAATCCAGCCATGCTGAAAACTGCCCACCTATGGCTGCATGAGGCTTTGGGTGGGGGGGTATCGAGACATAAGCAATAACACTATCTAATTATTTTTATGTTTGTATGCAGCTAGACATCATCTATCCATAGTCACACCAATACCTCTGTGTACATTATGTTCAGCAAAATAAGTGAGTCAATATATACAATTCTTCATGAAACCTGTACTCCATAGCATTTATTTGCACAATCTATTACCTGGCAATTGAACCAACAATAATAGTAGTAATAGTAATATCTGTTAGTGAATGTCTGTTATATTTTAAGCATAGTCAAGTTCCCATTATTGTGTATACTCCTCATAAATATATACACAATACCTAATCCCAGTGATACACGCCACATACACAGTTTTAATACCTTTACTTTCCTTTACTGTGAGGCATTACCATGGGCAGTAAGCATGCCAGAAACATATCTGTTTTGGAATGACAGAGAAACTACACTATGCTGTGTATCAGTATGTTTGTTGGTGCTGTTTTTCTGACTCTCCAGAATTGCAACACTCTCCAGAGTGTTCCCCTCACACGAGGAGGTTCCCAGCTCCAGTCTGGATGCAGGAGAGACCTTCTCAGTCTCAGAATGTTTGCCTTACACCACTTCTTCAAGTATGCGCATTTCTGTGGACCAGGACGGTAAACCACATACAAAGGTCATCTAAGCTGGGAGAGGAGGTGCAGCTGAGCAGCCTCCCGATCCTACTCACTCCACCTTTCCTTCATGTACAGCAAAGGGCCTCAGGAAAAAGGGACAAAGATGGACTCTTCTGGGGAGGGACAGATAGGAAGTCTGCCTTCCAGAGGAGGGTGAAGTTCCTCAGCTTACATTTCCATGTGAATAGAGGCTGCTGCGGTGAAGCAGTGGCCCATGGGGACATGTGCATAGGATGGAATCAGAGCCTGTCCCCTCAGATCAGGGCAAACTCAGCTCACACTCACACGTCCCACTCTTTATCCTAAGTACAGGCAGGTCTGTTTCTCCTCCTTTCTGTTTTTCTGTCTCATAGCAATGCCTTTTCTCCCCATTGTCCTGGTTCCTTCTGGCATTCATAGGTACAGCCTTACACAGGCATTCCTGAACACATTCTCAGATTCACCACTTTACACCCAGATCTGATAAATAAGGTCACATCACCTCACATGGTTACCTGTTCTAACTGCATAATGCTACTGGCAGACAAAACACTAGGAGACTCCTGTGCACATTGAACGTGTTTTTCTTACCCCAATGCCACATCCTCCACCATGCCTTCAGCCCTTCACAGAGCTGCATGTGCTGAGGACATAAACACTTCCTCTAACATGTAAGGCTGCTGTTACACTATCTGCCAACACTCACCGCTCACTCAACAGATCACATGTTGTGTAATACAGTATCAAACACACAGATGCATACTGAGTCTTATCTGCTTTGCCGGTACCCAAAACATTCACCAAATGTATAGCCAGATATATATATTTCATATATATTTGTGTGTGTGTGTGTGTGTGTGTGTGTGTGTGTATATTTCTAGAAGATGCCCCACATACCCATTGTTCACATGGGGATACAATGCACACATAACAACAAACACACATAGAATTTTGGATATCACAGATACCCCATGCACCCCCATCCGAGGATATTCTCATGGCCATCCCATCTTATTTTTGAAGCTTTCTTTTCTAGCTACTGATATACTACCTCAATATGTTTCAGGTCTTGAATCATCTAAGATGCTTCTAAGTCAAGATTTGATGGAGATGGGGAATTCCTCCTTCGTGCCACATTCTCACATCCCTTCCTCCTCAGCCCATAACCCCTCTGTGTCTGCAGCATCTACTGAGAAGAAAAGAATAATGAATGTTTATTACAAGCCTGTCCCAATGAAAAGGGGTGTGGCAGCTTTGGAGGATACAGAAGATTTGCAGCCCCCTGCAAAGATGATAAGAATAGGAAAAGTGACCTGTTCTGAGAGGATCACTTCAAAAGCCAGCCTCCCTTACATGCCCCTAGCAGGTATCCTAAAGGATGGTAAGGACAGTTTGGATATTGAATGGCAAGAGGAAAGGGGAAAGCCTGAGGAGCAGCCTGAGGATCTGGCCCAGGACTCAGGTCCCAGTGCCAAAACACCTGCAAAGCTGGAGGAATTGTATAGTGGCTTTAGGTGCATGGGATGCTGCCAGGTGTTCCCCAATTTGCAGATGCTCAAGAAACACCTGCAGCATGGGGCTGAGGAGGGTATTTCCTGTCTTGATCTTGCATTTGCCAAACTGAGGAACAAAAGCAAGATAAGCAAGATGTCAAGGAGGAAGAACAAAAATATCACAACAGCCTGTAATGATATGGAGATCCTTTTGTGGTTCTTGTTATTTTTGGTTTTTTGTACCTTTTTGGTTTATTATTATAATACATAGAAACTAAATCATTCTCCTGTTTCTGTCAATAATAAATGCGAGGCCCTAACCGAAGAGGGTACCAGAAAGCCTTTTCATCCACAAAATAGCAGAAAGCGTCAGCACCTCACATCATCAACTTTTGGTTAATTTTTTCTTCCTGTCTCTATGTTCTCTCACCCACTTCACTGTGCTGCTTCCAGAACGGGACTCCAAGTTTATTTTTTGTCATATTATTCATTCTTATTTGTACATGTAGGCAGCATATGAAGTTCCCATTCTTTGTTCGGAATTGGTGCATGTACACAGCACGTCTCAGTTCCTGTCCCCTTTTCCACCCTTCCCTCCCTGCGCTCTCCATCTTTTGATGTCTTTCACTTTCTAGAAATATCAACCTGCCTACATCCTATCGTCTACTTTTATTTTGCTCTTTATTTATTCTTTGGGTTTCTCACACATAAGAAACCATGCAGCATTTAAGCTTGTGTGTCTGATTTATTTCACTTACCGTTATGATCGCAAGCTTCATCCATTTTGTAGAAATGATTCACGGAAATGAGAGAATAGTATTCCATTGTATTTGCAAACCACATTTTCTTCTTTTCTGTGCTGAAATACTAATTTATTTATTTATCTTTTAGATTTTATTTTAGTTTATGTACAACTTATATATATGTAATGGTCACATTCATTATGTGGAATATGTGGTTGTACATTATATGTCTTGATTGTTTTTTAATTTTCCCAATTCCATTCTCCTCTTTTCAGAATCCCTTCCTCCCTGTTCATGAAGCTGTTTGCTGTTTTTCTTTTTTTGGCACCAGGACCCAAACTCACAACCTCGCGCTTGCCAGGCAGATGTTCTGCTGCTATGCCATATCCCAGGCGCAGCTTTTTCATTTTATCCTTTTTTTTTTTTCTTCCAGTTTTTGGTCTTTTTTTCCTTCCTCTCCTTCTTAGTTCCATTTTTTGTTTTGAATAGTTTCTTCCTATTTTACAGTATCTACGGTACCTTTTGGCTGATTTATAATTTCAGTTTCTCACACCAGAGAGATTATGTGATATTTACACCTGTGTCTGACTTATTTCACTTATGATTATGGTCTCAAGAGCCATCCATTTAGCTACAAATGTCTCAATTTTGTCCTCCTTTATGGATGAGCATCACTCCATTATATAAAAAGAACCACATCTTTCTTTGTCCATTCATGGGTTGATGGGCATTTGGGTTGCTTCCAAGATTTAGCTATTATAATCCATGCCACTATAAACATGGGTGCAATGTATTTTTTGGTATGCTGTTTTTAATTATTTTTGGAAGATACCCAGAATAGGAATAGCTGAATCCAATGGGACCTCTAATCCTAGTTTTGTAGGGAATCGCCACACTGATTTCCACAGTGCTTCCACCAGCCTACACTCCCACCAACAGTAGAGAAGTGTTACTTTCTCCACATAGTCCCCCAGCATTTATTAGCTGTGATACAGAATCTCAGTGTTGTATTAACTTGCATTTCTTGAATGACCAGTGATGCTGAGCATCTTTTCACATATTTATTTGCCATTTGTACTACTTCTGAGAAGTACGTATTCATCTTATATGGCCATTTTTGGATTTGATTTTTGAATTGGGGGGTTGATTTCTTTTTCAGCGTTTTTTTTTTTTTTTTACTATGTTGTAGATATTAGTCCTTTATCTGAAGAACAGTTTGCAAAAATTTTTTTCCACTCTGTGGGTTGTCTTTGCACTGTTGGTGATTTCTTTTGCTGTGCAAAGGTTTTTTAATATGGTGAAATCCCAGTTATGATTTTTTTGTGATAATGCCTATGCTATTGAGGTAAAATCCACATTTTTAAAATATGTCCATTAATAGATATATAGGCTGCTTCCAAAATTTATCTATCATAAATTGTGCTGATATAAACATGGGTATGCATGTATCACTGTATATGATGTATTTAATTTTTTTCAGGAAGACATCTGGAAGAGGAATAGCTAGCTGAGTCAAATGGAATATCAAGTTTCAGTTTTTTCTTAGCAATTTCCATATTGATTTCTATAGTTGTAAGAGTTTACATTTCCACTAACAATCTATAGGGGTTCTATTTTTCAGCATCTATGCCAGTATTTTTTTTTTTAGCATATTGACATAATGCTTTATTTAAGCTGTCTGTATGAAGCAAAATAATGTGCATCCCTATTATATACGTGTAAAAATACATGCTTATGATGTACAGTGTACAAAAACAGTTTGTTGTAGTTATTTCACATCCTTGTTGGTCATACACTTAAGGAAAGAAACAGTTCTAGTATGACCAACAGTAACAGTAATACAGTTTCTTGGGTTCATAGTTGCATTTGCTTAAAATCCTTACCCAGATGACTACATCTTTTGGGGATCTAATGAAAGAATTAGCAAGGTCAAGAAATGTCACAGACTATAAAGCTACAGAGAGGTAATTCAATTACCACTTTGGAGGTTTTCTTTTTATTTAAATAGATACTTTACAGTTCATGCTTGCCTGTAATGCACTACCAGGAGCAAGATAAGGAAGTTCTACTGTAGACAGTAGAAATGGTAGCAGCAAGTGTGTTCACTGAGGTGTAGTATATAGACCCTGCAGTTAGTGAGGGAGGCCCTTACTTTTGTACTCTAGAAGAAGCAAGTGGCCCCGCAAGAACAGTCAGCTTTGAGAATCTGAAAATCCGGCTGGGAAATGGAAAACATACTGGAATAATGCTATGTAATTAGTGTAGAAAGCAAAGCTGTGAACAACCCTTGCCAACAATCCAAGCACAAGTGGCCAATTTCCTCCATGATGGCTGCCTTGGGACAAGAGGTCAGACTTCATGACAGTACAAGTTGCAGTCTACATAGTTGGACTGGGATTTGGATAGGACGATTCCAGGTTTCTGGCTGTTCTACCTGCCAGAATCCAAAACTACAGCTATGGGCTACATAGGGAAGTTTCACAATTTCCCTCTGCACGTCTTTCTGTGCTCTCTCCTGCCTCCATGTCAGATGACTGGGGTCTGGGAGTAAAAGGAAGGAAGTCTCGAAATTGAAGCCAAGAACACACTTTCTGTGACATCGACGGCCTCAGAGGGGATGACTGAGCCCTGCGCGTGGCTGGGGACTGAGGGCTAGCTGTGAGGAGTGGCCAAGCCAGGGCACTGTGAGTGCCCATCATTAATCTTTATGAAGTATCTTTGGCCAAGGTCATGGAAACTACCTTAAGATTTTGGCGGGAAGGGAAACCAAAACAATGAAAAGCTGTGTGCGCACTGTACAGTATCATGCTTTCCCTCTAAAGGTACAAATACTCGGAACATCAGCCACTCTCAGCTTTCTTCTTGTCCTCTCACCTGTTTCCTTCTTAGAAAATGGACACAAGACAACTTAAAGGACACACCTTCTAGTCTACTTTCTTGTCACTGTGAAACATTCAACATAATTCCAAGTGTAAAAATGTTAATCTATAGATGTAAGAATGAACTAGCATTTACTGTAACTTTCCACTTAATAAGATGAAAGTCACTCAGGTAGAAATATGAAAAATTAGGATAAAATCCATGTCTGAATATGTCTTAGCTGCCTTAATAAAATGCCCTTAACAGCCCCTCCCCTGTCAGTCCCAGTGGCCCACCCATGCCAGCAGTGATCTCAGAGCTGTAAATCCACACTTCCAGCTTCAAGAGGTTAAGACATCTGCAGATGGATAGGAATCACCCTACTAGAAAGTCACTTGCTCTCTCATACAAAGCAATCATAATACTATGTTGTGATGCAGTCTTCTGTTTGGGAGCTGTCAGAGTTTAACTAGAATAAATCCCTATGATCATTCCAGGGGGCTTGTGCCCTCTGGCTTGCCACAGGCAGGGCTTCAGCCCCTTGGACTTCATAGGCTGCTTTGGAAAATGTCAGCTCCTAGCACCAAAGGGTTTAATCTGAAGATCATCATTAATGAAGGAGAAAGATGAGGTTTGCATATAAGTCCCCTCTCAGTGAGAAATGTTGGGATTTGGAGACATGAGTATGTACAGAAAAAGAAAAGCTAGAGGTGTTCTTTCTATTTTGTTTTCCCTGATGGCTTAATTCAGTGATAAAGGTACCTTAATTAGAATAAACACACCAGGCTTTTATCTTTTACTGACTACTTCACAAATGCTTGCCATCTGTTCATTTTGCCAAGTAAAGTTTGTTTCTTAACATCATTCAGGCCTCAATTTTTTTCATTATGTTGTCAGGTCATCCTAATATTTTAATTCTCAAGTGAACAAAGAGCAATAGCTATTTGTTTCATTAACCCCTTGGCATGAATTGTTGATTTTCTCATTTGCAGAGTCAAGGGGTTAAATGACAGCAACTCTTCTCCCAAAGTCAAATCTAATCAATCTGTACAATTTCAGAACCTTACCAAAATTTTTTACATAGGAGAAAAAGCGCATGATTCTCATCAGCGTGTACATTCCTTGCACATGGGTCAAAAGAAACTGCAGTAAGTCTATTTCATGTAAGTTGGAGCTGCATTTGCTAACATGACACACAGTTCTCATCACTAAAAAATAAATACTACTGCAATACAAACAAAATCATAAAAGGACATTCAAAGTTTTAACATCTGAGAAAAAGCTAATCACCTAGAACTGAAAAAGTAAAAAATTAAAACTAGTAAGGCAAACACCTACTGGTTTAACTTGTTGTACAATTTTGGTGAAAGCAGGATCATTATACCTGTCTACATTCTTCAGCCATAAGAGGTGGGAAATATCAAGATGGGAAAAAGGTTGCCAAGCACAGGGATAAATGCTTTCTGACGCAGAGTGCATGCTAAAACCCTATATGTGACTTTGACTCTGTGTATGTGCCTTCGTTTCTTGGTAGAACAATGTCCACTTGCCCATGATTGCCTGTGAGATCTGGATGTCCACATGTGATACTGGACTTCTTTCATAGTATCCAGTCCTCTCAAATGCTTCCTAATGAATTCCAGCTAAATCTTAGTGACATACACTTACTTTATGCACTGAGCAGATTTGCTTTACTAAACTTGTGCATATACACATCACCA